TAACAACCCCTCCAAGAGACGGGCCTGTGTCAGAGTTTGAGAAGCACTGTACCACTCCATGACCCACCTCCTACTCCAGACAAACTTCCTCCCACAGACTCATCTCCCCACTTCCTGGCTCCCAGAAGGCTGCTGGGGGAGGAAGGAGTCACAATGGAGAGAGGTCATTAAATAGTAACGAGATCCCATAATTAGTTAATGACACCAGTGGCTCCAGGAGAGAGGGTCAAAAGTCAGTCAAAGAGAAAAAGCTCCCCTATATCTCTTTCTGTCTTTCACACACACGTGCATGCATGCATGTGCACACGCGCACACACACACACACCCCCCTCAAAGAGCCTGCCCCCTCCGTGCTTTGGTGGGTCTGCTAACTAGTACTGAGGGGCACAGTCTGTCTCTCCCACCAGGGGGGCTGGAGCTAAATGTGGGTGTACATTCTGGTGGGTATCAGGGAAGGCTTTTCCCTGAGAACACAGCCTTCAGGCCTTGAGTTTAAAAACCACCTCACTGGAAAGCCACTTTTAGGAATTTGCTCTGTGGAGAACTGAGCACAAAGTATATGTCTGGACAAAGTGGTCACTGTAGCAATGTGGATCCTAATGAATAATTCAAAACCACCTACATGTGCAATAGCAGGGGAACAGTAGGTCCATGCGGTGCCATGCGATGGAGCAGGGAAACATGCTGTGGAAGAATACCGAGTAACGTGGGAAAATCCTCCCTTACAACGTCACCTGAACACGCGGCAGCACGGGAGGTGGTTCGTGTGGTGTGATCTCAGTCGTGTGTGTGCGCGCGTGTGCACCACACTGCTCACACCGCTTATCTCTGCACGGCAGTTTCCTCCTTCGCATCTGTTCTTTACCCTCCCAATTTTCCCACTAAAAAAACTATGGCTTCGATCATTAGAAAGTTATTTGTTTAAGTGCCCATTTGGTTCAGATGGAGATGAGGTTTTTTAAAATGTTGACAGAAACATCTCTTTCCTACATCGGAATCAGTGGCTTGGGGCAACCCTGGCTACAAAGAAGACCTGGTCCCCTTAGGGAGTGTTCACGTTCCATGTGTTCCCAACAAGCATGATCAACAAAACAAGCATGACCAACGAGCGGAAGCTAAGGGAGGGTGGGTTTGCTTAAATTCTATACCAGTTTTTTAAAGAGATCTGTCCAGAGTGGAAAGGTAGTGAGCTCTCTAAGCCTTGAGGTATGTAAGCAAAGGCTGGATGTTGTCCAGACTGAGTAGGCTCAATGAACTCTAGAGCCACTTAAAAGAGCATGATCCTGTTAATCTAGTCACAAGCACCCATCCTGGCCCTCAACTCTAATCCAGGAGCACTCAGATCTAGGCAGGGCTCACACAGTCTGATTAAGGACTAAGCCGACAAAGGCCTAAGGCCCTCCTGACCCCTGGAGCTCCAAGCGGCCCTGGAAATCTCCTTCGCTCCAGATCAGGGACCTGTCTTTGGAGAGGAGGACTCTGTCACTCCTCCAAAAGAGTAGCAGGAGCAGCCTTTGTTTATCATGATCATACTTATCCTCTGGCTTGTTTGGAGGGTGCATTCTGAGCTGAGCCCACCGCTCAGCATTTTACTTGCAACCATTATCTCATTAAATTCTCAGGTAAGCCCATGAGAGAGGTACCATTATCATTCTCCATTTCACAGATAAGGAAACCAAGGCTCTGAGAGGTTGAGAAACTTGCCCAAAGATAAGCAGATAGTGTGGAAGAGCTGGCCCATACCTAGGTCTTGGAAGAAGCCCAAGCTGTAAGCACAACCCCAGTGTTCCCCTACAGGCAGCTTGCTGCCCTCCCCCCGCCACTCCAGGGGGGGATTTCTGATATGCACAAAGTTTGAGAAGCATGACACCATGCTATACAGTCTGCTAGCAAAAAAGGAACCTGCTGGACCCTGCCAGGACAGGGTTTGTGGCAGAGAGAAAGAAAATCAGAGAGGCTTTTAGAGAACCTCTAAATGTCCAGTGCCAGAGTAGATAACACATCCTCTCTGTCCCAGTTACATCTCTACTGCAGAGAGGTCAGAGGTTCAGAGAGGTCATTGTCTAGGTGACCAACAGTGACCGAAAGCCTAACCATTTACTCATCATGGAAACTCTTACAAATTACTCCTCCCCACTCCTGTTGAGTTTCTATTTCCTCTGTAGAGGAAGATGTTTCATCCAGTCCCATTGCAACAACATTCTAATATTCTATCTCTTAAGACAGTGGCATTACTGATTGTTATCATTATCGGCAACAACAAATGAACAATTATTGAGTGCTTCCCGCATTTGAGATAGCATTCGAAGTGCCTTACATTTATGAGAGGAACATATATTTCCCTCTCCACTTGTTTCCATGACGAGGGACCTCTACGGAAGGAACACCTCTGGCCTTGCTCGCTCCTCCCCTTCACGCCCCCTTCATTGCCTGGACCAACAGTGGCTTATCTGATTGGTTCGTCTGGAAGACAGGGCATGCTCAGCAGGGCCCAGCCTCAGGCAGAGCCAAGCTACCTGCAGGAAGTGTTCTCTCTGGACTGTGTTCTGCAGGGTGGCAGGCCCCTTTCCAACGCCACCTGTGACCGGACAGATAACTCTGCTAGAGCCAGGGCAGATGGTTAGTAACTCTGGACTCCAGATCTAAAGCTACGTTCTCCAGCCGGCCTTCTCAGTAATGACGCCAATGTCTGGAGCTCCATCTTTGTCAACTGTTTTCTTTTCAGTTGGTTCTAAATGTAAAAGCAGAAAAGGGGTTCCCGCTAATCCTCAACATGTGTTAAGCTCCTTCAACTCTCACAGCTTCCCCCCAGCCCCCGAATCAGATATTCCTTTCCCTATTTTCAACATGAGGAAATTAAACCCACTGGTGTCACGGACTGTTGAAAAGCTTGTTGAAAAGCTTTCTAAACACCATGCAGCACCGAGGGTGTGTCCACCACAATGGAAGCTGGGCGACACCCCCATTTATAACAGACTGTGGTCTCCCAGACTCTGGGGCTAGTGGCCATAGCCACTCCCTCCATAGACATACCCTCGGTCTTTTGAGGCTAGACAAATTGATAATTCACTTCAAACCAACACCCCACCCCCCTTTGAAAAAAACATGCTTTATTAACAACAACAAAAAGCTCAATGTGATCCCAAGTTCATCTAACACATTTGTGTTTAAATATGTATAGTAAGTTTTTCGATAGCTTTATTGTATAAATATGTTCTTTCTTAAGCATAAAATATAGGCTCACTACAGAAGATTCAGAAATTAGAGGAAAGTAAAAGAAAAATAAAGGTCTGCAATCTGATCTACATAATCCCGCTAGGATGTGGATATGTAAGCACATTCATCTACTTTCTGGCCTTGTTGAGTACAGTAAAGGAAAGAGCTCTGCCAATCTGTGTCTGAAGTGTCTCCGTGGCAGCACTGGGACCTGCCCACCTACACTGGCTGCTCAGGGCAGGAGCCTAGGCCAGGCACCAGGAAGTCCTTTTACTGAACAAAACTCTGCAACTGCTCCCTGTGACATCGCATGTGCCTTGCTTACAAATGCCAAATGTCCCAAATGCAGGATAATAGTTATAGTTTTGCAGCCCAACAAGGTTGTAACTTGCCCGAGGTCGCATGGCAAGTAAAGGATGAGCTGGAATCAGAACCCAGGTCTCCTGATCCTCAGACTCAAGCTATTCACCAAGCTCCCCTACCCTCAAAGATTTAAATCCTGCTTCCTATTAATAATCGCAACACCCCCCAAAAACAGCTTGTACATGTACAGCACTTCTCTGTGCCAGGCACACTCACAAACGCTTCACATACATTCATTCATATCATTCTCAAACAATTCTACGAGGGAAGAACTATTATCTCCATTTCAGATGCTGAAACTGATGCACAGAGAGGTTAAGACACTTGCCTAAGGTCACACCCAGCAGGTAAATAGCAGAAGTGGGAATTATTCTCAGGCCGTTTGGTTCCAGAGTCCACGACATTGCCTGTGGTTCTTTCCTCACTCTCCAAGGCCAAGCCCAGCTGGACCCTAGGCAGGTTTCCAGGGCACTTGCTGCCTGAAGAGTAAGAAAACCAGCCTAGAGTACAACCTCCCTGGAAAAAGTCACAGCAGAGCCAGGGTTTGAAGCCAGGCTTCCTAACGCCCAGCCTCCAGCGCTGTCTACTTTTCTGCATCAGCTCTATGAGCCTAGGCCCAGAATTCTCAACAACTTCCACCCTGGATCACTCCTCAACAGATCAGGGAGTCAAGGGTGGGGCCCAAAGAAGGGGCAGAAGCCCC